TATATATATATATATATATATATATATATAACACTACTTCCATAACAATGACAATTCACTATTTAGAGAGCTATTAAATAAAACAAACGGAATATTACAAAACCATATGCTATATAAAGTACTCACAGTCAAGTAAATTAATGAGTGACAAAGCTTACCAATAAAGGATATTTACTGTTCAATTTATATCAGCTACATGTATAAAAATGACAGTTCATTTGTATGTCCATGTAAGTTTGAGGTTTTTGAATACAATAAATAGACTGATATAAAACAGTTTTAAATAATGAAACACTTAATAATCAAGAAATAGTATACAGTTACAGATATATAGAGAAATTTCTTTAAAAAAATGAAAAAATCTAGACAGCACATCCAAACTTCTGTCACACACTGAGATATTTTTTTGGCTATCATGTGTACATAAGGTAATTATCAAATTTTAGATCAAAGCTGAAGTCTATAAAAGTCCAAATACTGCTAGTTTGGCACAAAATTGTCTGTTGTCTTAGTAATATTTCTAATGCTTATGCAGTTAAACAAATGTTTCCCTTTTCTGGAAGATACGGCCAGTATCAACATTAAAAGAACAAATAAAAATAACAATAATAACAGGCCTTAAAGCAAAATTATCTTCCCTCTCTGTTTGTTATTATATGTTGCAGTTCTCTTTAATAAAATCAATACATGAAATAAAAGTGAACATCACTTGCACATGTACTCAGAAGTCTAAACGAATTTAGCATAGTAATGTACAGAGGAGGAAATTCAACTACCACTATTTAACCCTTTTCCTTTGGGCTCGTATAATTCACGGAAAATGTGTTGCAATTTTAACTTGCGTAACAATAAGATTTCTTAATATATCCTCTCAAAAACTGGTAAGATTTTGTTAAAGATCATAAGTATCTTGTACACAAAAAATGAGATTATTTTAATTAAGTGTGTTTACTAAAAATATATTATATATTGTAGTTACTTTCATTCAAACACTTCACAAATCAAGTGCAAGGTGATTTTCATTTTAAGTATAAAAATACTATTCATTTGCATAATCTCTAGAACTTCCTAAAAGAATATCAAAAGTTTTTAAGGCAAATGTTTATATTTTATTCTTCATTTTCTCTACCCAATCAATAATTAGCTATTATCATCAACATACAATGCAATGAAATAATTAAGATTAGGAAATAGACAAAAATTCATACCTTTTAATTTTTTGTAAAATATCTTACGATTTTCCTATTGTTAAATTTGTAATTTCACGTCTTTTCCTTTTCACATATAGTTAATTTTCAATATTTTATTTTCCTTTCCTATCATCTACCACATATTATTCATCTCGAGGCATATTACAGTGTCTCTGGTAGACAGGCATAACCTTTTAGGAAAAATTCTCGTGCATCATGTAATATCAGATGCCTTGAGAACTAACCCAGAGTATGATGTATATTTTAAAAATGTTTAAACCTTTCAATTATGCATTTTAAAACATAACTAATTAAAACATAAAAGTAAGACCTAAATACAATTTAAACTGTATTTCTAACTATAATATATTTAAGTAAGAAGCAACTGTAAGTGCTATAGTTGATCAAGCAACCAACAATACTACAGTCAGTTACATGTAGTCTGTGATAAATGTGCACCAATTTCAAAATAATCATTATTAGATTATAGTGTAAAATGAGCTTTTTCTAATGGCTATACACAAGTGTATGTAACATCTACATGTAGGCTGTAAAGCTCAAGCAAATCTGTTCAGGGTGGGGGTGGCACCTGTCAAGCATTGAAAAAATTTATTACTTGTTGCAACTGCATTCATTCATTCACAGAACTTTGAAATGTACAAGTCAAATGGTTAATTTAGAATCTTATAGTCTAGATGGTACATCTATACAACTACCATTGTATTATTGAAGATACAGAGTACCAAAGTAGAGAATTTTCATAGCTCATTGGTCACATGACAATACATCTGAAGTTTCAATTAGGCATAAATATATTATTCAATTCATTTTTAACATGCAGTCAAAATTTCGATTCTAAACTGATTGTGAAGAGAGTGAAAGCATAATGTATTAACCCTTTTGCAACAGATTCCTCTTTAAGTGCTTTTCATTGCAAGTTAGTGTTTCATTCAAAATTTAATTAAACACGTTTACTATCAATGTATGTGAATGAAATTAATATCATAATGTATGTTGTGATTCAAAGTTTTATGTTATCTAAGTTTTAAGTCCTTTATTTAAAAAAAAAGCTGCAAATTTTATAATTGTTTTTGGTTTCACATGTTCTTTATGATTTATGAAAATACCAAGATAAATGTAAATTTATTTTATCATATACAGTAGTTTGAAAAATATCATTAACTGTATCATCATTTTAGTAAGCATTTCAAATTACTGGAATATTACACAATGAATGGAATTGTATATTAAAAACAACAACAATATAATATAAAATTAAATCAATGCAAAGTGGTTACTTGGATGACAACTGTTTCCCAGCTACACAGAAATGATTAATTACATTTCTTACATGTAATAATTTATTTATACATTTATCCCATCAATTTTGCAGATTTTAAAACTGGAAATTTCCTACCACCAGAATCAATGGCATCAATAAGGGCATCAGTGTCTTTACTACGAATGCAATCAATTAACTGTCGATGTGTGCGTTCACCGGCACTATCCATCCGCCGAAGATTTGGAAGACGACTTGCAACAGATGTAACACCAGCCTTTGGGAGTGCTTTCCTCCCTTCAAACAGCAATACAAGAAGAAGATCCACAAGTCTCATAGTGTCAAGGATACACCTAAAGCAGAAAGTGGATATTAAAACCATAGATATCCAATTATGTTTTAATACACATATACAAATATATATATCATTAAGATTTCTAAACCATCTAAATTTAAGGCAAATAAAAATATTATGATTAACTTAATAGCAAATAAATCTTTAGCAGCATATTTATTTATAATTAATTAGTACTAATATTTGCACACATATTTGAAATTCCAAGTGTCTACTTATCTTATAAAGATTTCAACATTTCCATCCTTAAATATCACATTATAAAGCCGTCAAAATCAGCAAATCTTAATTTTATGCCATATTAAATATTTTTGAGGCTTTGGAAGTTGCACACACACACACACACACACACTATTCTGTAATGTTGGTATCACACGATATATATATATATATATATATATATACACTTTTAATTCATACGTAATACAAAGATATTCAGTCACTAAGTTCTATGTTTAATGCACTGTCTTAGTACTTGAACAGAAATTCTGTTAATCAGGATAGCATAGGAACTGAACAGCGAATGTAGCAATTTGTTAATCTTGATACATAAATTTTTTTTATTAAAATTCTTCCTCCTGTGACAATTCCAAACTATACTTTTTTGTTGGCTATATTTTTCTATTCTATGAAACTATAGAAGTGTCAAAGTTTTGGAAATATATAAATAGGACTTTTGTAACTGTTAAAAAAAATGCAAGTCAAAACCAGACTGCAATAAAGAATTAGGGTCCTGTTCATTAAATATCAAAGAATACACCTAAAGCAGAAAGTTTCATATTCAGAAACATAGAGAATATTTTAGCTTTCTTAACAATTTTAAAGAAATACACCAAACAAAAAAGTATAGACAGATGTCCACATTTTGTTGAACAATTTGGATATGATGATACAGAATTTTCAACATGTATCAAGCAAAAATGGTAAGTTGATTGTTATTTACTGTTTGGGAACAACCAATAGAAACAGTTATAACATCAGCTTGCTGAGGAGTACTGCCTCAAATGTAACCATGATGTTATAGTGAACCAGTTTTTCCACAAAAGAAAATGTTCCTTTCATATATATATGGTAATTATACCCAACAAGTGAAAATAATCATGGTAGTCTAAAATTATTCCAAATATAGTTGTACTGTTACGTACATGATACAGGACACAGTGCTACAGATTATTTTTGCCATGGTCAGTACAGTACTGGTTATATTTTGCTTCTATCAGGTGGTCAGTATCAGTATCAAAGACAAGCATTTCATGGTGGTTTATGTAGTGATTGAATCATTTATAAGAGTTTGAATGTGTCTATACTATCTTATTGTGTACTCAAGAAAGTTCTCCAAAAACACAAACACATTTATATATTTTTAATCTTCTGTTTGCATGGTTGTGAAAGCCTTGCCCTTCTTCTGTCCTTAACACTATCCAACATATGGGAAAATAAAAACACGACATAAAACATGTTGAATAAAAGAAGAGGTTTAAAATGTGAATACAAGTAATATGTAACTTCATCATCAATAATCTACAGGTAAAATATACAATGTTACCAAAAAACTTTTAATGTTCATTTAGGATGTTCCAGAGATTATGCAAATAAAATAAGAAAACTTTTAAATAAATATAAGTTCCCTATCATGCAATTCATGTTTCATGCAAATACCTTATTTAGAAAAATGTGATTTTTTGTATATAACACTTTTCACATTTACTAAAAGATTGCCAATTTTCATGAATACACATAGTAAATTTGGAATAATATAATTGTTAATTCTCCAATAAGGGCTCGGTCTATTGCATGAGCAAAAACTATTATGGTGGATGTGATGTGTGTGCTTTTAGGCTTACAGGTGAGTAGACTGTCAACCAGTCTAAAACAAAGGGAAATTACTGAGAAACAGCTTAAATAAAATAAAGAGGATGGGGAAAATAATCAAGTTTGCAAACTATCAAAAACAAATAGTTGAGAGTACTGTTAGCAATTGTAATCAATTCTAAAATTTACTACTAATGCATTGCTATTGGAACATTTATAATTGTAATCTATCAATAGTTTGATGTATTGCTATACTCCTAATTGAGGTTTGCTTTATTTTTAAGCAGGATGCAAGCATCTATGTGAAAAAATTGCTATTTTCACAGTGTGCAAACCAGTTGGCACATCAATTCCTATCAGTGCTAGTACATCAGTAACTGATACTTGTAAAATACAAAACTACAATTATCTCTCAAAACATTATGCATATTTTAAGTGCACACACTAGCTATAAGGAGCACTGGGACACAGCCATATTAGGAACAAATCAATTCTATTTTAATATTTAAGCTGTAAAATCCATTGCATGTGAAATCCTGAACTTCTGGAATATTCAAGAGCTTAAACAAATAAAAAAAATTAATACAAATGAATTCTTGAAATTTGCCAAAGATGAAAATAACCATATCATTCACATTTGCTATTAAACACAATAAAAGAATAGAAAAACAATAATTAATTAACCATTCTTTTTCAACCTTGTGCTTGAAAAATCACAGAATTCAGGTTGTTAACATGAATCTTAAATGTAAAAGTACTGCATATACATTTGTTTTCCTCTTTACAATCAATAAGTTATAACTGTAAATGTTTACTTTTATATTACATTTTAACCCTTTGACTGTAGCTTCTTTAAATGAACACAAAAGTTTTGTGAGCCATACACTATATATAGCACTCACATTCAACTGCCGGAGGTGGACTATACTCTATATGGCAAATCAGCAGTCAATGGGTTAAACAATATGGTTAATTTATACCTTATTAAAATCAAAATCTAAAAGATTTAAAATTTACTTCAAAGTTTATTTTAATGAAAGGTAAAATTTATTGTATTTCAATAAGTAGGTGACTAATCCTTTTTTTTTCTTCAAAAATCATGTTTATTGCATTATCATTGAACCTATAACAGACTCAAAATGTAACAGGTTTATATCAAAGTAAAAATGCATAATAACTATGTAATATACCTTTCATCTCCTTTTAAAGCTGATTCTATTGCATCTGGTAGCTCAGATCTCAAGAGGTCCTAGATAAATATGTATATTATTCAATCATTTCTTTCTTACACTGCTTCATAAATAACAAAACTTAAAAATTATAACATCACAAACACATTACTAATGATAAGATTTGATAATATTTATTCTATTATGAACTGTTAGCACAAGGTTAAAATGCAACCATGCATTAAGAAGCACTTAAAACACAAACAGTTTTTTTTTTTGCAGGTTAAAAATGATTAGGCCTTTCATTGTCATCATGTTAAGTGGAACACAGAAACTAAGTCTTGCTGAAAAAAAAAAGAATTAAAAGCAGTTACAAATGTTAAACTGTTGATACAAATTTACTATGATTAGGCTAAATTTTTTAAAATGTAAGGAACTGGTAGTCAACATTATTCTGTTTATGAAATGTCTACTGCCTTAGACTCATAAAAAAAAAACTTAGCTCAGAGGTTTTTAACCCACCTCATTCACTGGTTTGACATTTGTCAACTGTTGGTGTTTTTTTCTGATTATCAAAATCATCAAATGCTTTTAAATCATTCAACTGTGTTGATCTTAATAAAATTAATGTAATTTTTAAACTTATTATGTATGAAAAACTTAAAAATATGAAATTATGCACTTAAATTATGTTGTTTTCAGCTGGCAGTGCAATCTGTTCACTAAACAAGACAATAATTTTGACAAAAACATTACATTTCAAATGTGACTTAAGAAAAAATTTAAAAGTTCTAGTTAAGACTCCTATTTACGAGGAACTTGATCAAGAAAATGATCAAGACTTTGAATATTTTGTGAAATATGCATGTAACATCATCTAAGAATATGTATATGTACTTATTCTCAGACTTACATGGGTAATACTAGGAGAACCACGACACAGAGTAGAAAGAAGACTGATAATCGTTGAAACACCTGTTGAAGATTTACTCTCTGGCGTTGCATTTGCTGGCCCACCAGGAGTACCACTTACAGCTTGAGTGAAAGCAGAGTTGGCTGCACTTGATAATCGTGATAGCAGCTGTCTCACCAGACCATGATCATTCAAAGGAGCTGGATCAATACCCCGTCGTGTGAATCGGTCTGCCAGAGATGCAAAGCATCTAAGAGCTCCATCTGCTACCTGGAATGTTTCATACACAATCATAACAATCATAATTTTAAGTCTGATTATCATAACTATCTCCACATAAATATACATCTATGAAAATAGGAAAAGTTGTGTGTGTCAACATTAAACCAACTTGGTTTTGAAACCTCTTGAGCACTTATGTTTTGTTTTCCAAATTCTAATCTTACCTTTATTTTTTGTTATTGACTATATTTCAAAAAATGAGACTTGCTTTAATGGCATCATTCTTATTAAATATGACAACTTATATAATCACCTTCTACACATGGAAGAGCTACTGATATATGTCATGGACAAAGGTAATATATATTTTTCAAGTCAAAGAACACATATGAATGGGTTGATCTGGTTAAAACAACCGTTTGTGTGTTTAAATAAAGACTGATTTGTACTTTTTATGTTTAACTGTTTAATAAAAGTGTAAGTAAACACTTATTCATGAACACTAAATCTGAAAATACCAAAAAATATTTTATATCTTCAAAACAGTTTCAGAAATCACTAAAAACCTAGAATATCTATATACAGTTTTGTCTCATTATAATGCCATTGGTTATAACACTTTCTCAGATATAACACTATGGTGCCATGGCTCCCAAAAATGTTGTATCATCTGTTGCTTTGCTCATTGCCACGTGGCTTCAGCGGCTATAAAGTTATTACACTCTCACAAAATAAAGGAAAAAAGTGGAAAGTCTCAAGCTCAAAGCCAAAAAATGCAAATATCAAGTTCATATGTGAACTTGATATTTGGATGTTGGGAAATAAGGTAAGAAAGGAATTTGGAAATGTGATTCAATTATTGAAATAGCAAGGAAGTGTCATCAATACAGCATTTGTAAAAGACAGGTTTAAAGTCACATGGGCAGTTTTCTAGCCACTTGCATTCATGGTAGCATAGAAAACTATTGGATATCATTGGATCAAGTTGGGATTCCATCTATCTGGTCATAAATGACATCATTAAAGATGAAATGGTTTAACTTTGTGGAGTGTCAGAAGGAAATAGAGATGTTGTGTCCTTAATTGCAGCAGGTTTAAAGTAACATTAAGCAGACTAAAGTATCAGACCTTTTAAGTAAATAAGTGAACATGAGTGTACTTTGTTTCTGAAATATCAGAAAGTTTGGATACATATTTCATCTTATCTATGTTCCTTTTATATCTATTTTCCCTATATAAATAAACAGTTATTTTATTTAATGGATTGCTTTAGTAATCAGTTGAAACTGTACTTGTTCAGCATGAGTGCCTTCTTGAGTAGTTGGTTCTAACACTCCCCCACCTATATTGCTCTTGGATGAACATGCCTCCCAATTGTAGCATTATAATGAGGCACTACTGTGTTTATTTAATGTTCCTTACAATGTAATTTCATTAGAAAAAAATAGTTAATTATTGTCTACTTTATGAAATAAGAACCTATTCTAAAAACTTGCACTAATCTATACTTAACACAGAAGTGAGTAGTCAACAGTGTCCTGCTCTGAACTGCTACCATGTAAAGTGACATCAAATTATAATTTTTCAGCAGTTAAAGATACCCAAAATTAAAATGACAGTTTAATAAATTATGGAATGGCTAAAAAGATAAGCTCTAAAAGATTTAGATCTTATTTTTCTTCCTTATGAAAGTAATGTATAGTAAATATAATACTTGACTTTCTTCAGACGTAAAATCTAAGTCAGGCAGAAAAATACCTTAAATAAGTTTATTCTTATAAAAATAAAAAAATTAGCTGGCCTTTAGAAATTTAATCTAGAAAATTCAGTTTTGGAAGATTTTTTAGATGTTTGTTTGTTTTAGTTGAATTTCATGTAAAGCTATTCCAGAGCTATCTTCACAAAGTCATCCCATATTTAGAAGTGATAGAGGGAAGCCAACACAACCCTCACTGCTAACTCTTGGGATACTCTTTTACCAACAAGAAGTGGGATTGACCATTACATTCACTCCACAGCTGAAAAGGTGAGCATGTTTTGTGATGGGATTCAAATCACACTATAAGTGAAGTGCTCTAACCACCAGGCCATGCCAGACCAATCTTTTAGATGAAATGTTGATAATTCCATACATCGTGCTATGAACTGAAGTCTGATGAGGTCTTACTAGGTAGCAAGTTTACCTAAACATGTTTCCACTGTTAATTTTTAAATGCTGAGATTGGAGTAACAACACATACTCAAAAAATAAAGGATCAGAAAATATAGATTCTATGAAAACTCGTGCTACCCAAGCAGCAGAGGAATGATGTGCATTACTATGTAAGTTCTTCCAGAGTTAAGAGGCTCTAAAACTCAATGATGTCTATAGATGACAATAAAGTGAGAATGAAAGATAGAAAAGTTTTAAAAGCAGCATTAGAAAAATTAAAGTTGTTTTTATTTGAAAATTCTAAAGAATTATTTTGTGCTTTTATCTACATGTATCTAGTAAATCATTATAATAATCAATTTTTATTCTAAACTAACAAAATACTTTTCAACATAATCACTTATCAAGCAATTTGTTGGACAAAAAATCTTACTTTATCAATAAGCAGCACCCAATAAGATTAGAAAACGGAAGTTTTTCAAGACAAAACTAGAATGGAGTTTTGAAAAGAGTCACTGTAGAAAGTTATCCTACTGTCTGTTGTGACAGCAAAGAATAGTTGGAACAATCAAGTTAATTAAGTGATAAGAAAAATAATCAGACAGATGGATAATTTAACACATCATAGTATTTTAGGAAAATATTCTTAAGTTCGAAATTGATAATTACCCTTACTCAGCTCAAATGGCAAAAAAAAATATTTAAAACCCCATAAGAAAAGATAAACTATTAACAGCTACAAAGAGAACACTAAAGATGTCCAAGAAGTTTCAACAATTCTGCTGAATGTAAAAAAAAATACTGAAAATATCATGTACAACAAGAAGACACAGCAAGCTACTGCTACAACTATAATTCTGCATGCAGATTATTTTCTTGTTCATACTTAGGATTTACTGCACCAGATCACTAGAAAAACTAGTCTTAATAATAGGTAAAGAATGTCAGGAAACATCAGATAAAAATATTTGACAGAGCCATTAACACTCTACAACTGCAAGATTCATTTACAAAGAAAAAATATTTATAGTTTTACAAGTGCTTAATTTCCACAGTTCAAAAATTCTTGAAATTTATCTTATTTCTAATCAAAAAACATGTCAACAACAAAGTTAAATGTCAACTATATTACACATACATGGCTATCTTCATGCTTCAAAAGTAAAGAAAGGGCTTCAACACAACTAGGAAGAGAGAAATCCTGTGGTTCCATCTTTCCGCACAAACGTGAAACCACAGCCATGGCTGAATGCAAAGTATCTTTGTGAACCAATGACCCATTATCTCTGATGAAGGAGAGTACACAATTTAAACCACCTGCTTCAAATACAGCACCAGCTTCCCTTGTACAAATAAGTTCCAATACCTGAAAAACAACAACAAAAAACAATCAGTGTAATTAAAAACATGATGTTTTTGTACTACATTTAAAAAAAATAAGTTGTTACTTCTGACCAGAAACTAATGTTCAACTGAAGTCAAAATACAAACATTTTTAAAATTTGTAAAATATATATATAACTCTTGGGTAAGTAAAATGTGCAAAAAATATAACAATTAGTTAAAATACACTCAGAAGTCTCTAAAAACAAAGAATTACTGAAACACTACAGTCTTTCAAAGATATCCTTCTTTTTGTATCATTCTAAGTGGCATTTCAAAATTTAAAAAATCACTGCTCCGAGATATTTTGCATGAAGTATAGGGAACACAAACTTTTATAATCAGGACCAAATCCATGTTCTCTAACTGTGCCAGATAATTTTGTGATAAATTGGACAGAAAACAGATTATTTAGGGTAAATGTTTCAACTTTTTACTATTGAAATAGTTTATGTAATAGTTTCAAAATCACCATAGATTTGACCTGGCAAATATTCGCCCTTGTGGCAAAATATTACTAATATCATACCATTCAGTATTACATCAAAACCCATTTTTATGCACATTTCCATCCTAAACACACACAGAAAGTAGTAATCTTACATATGTTTTGGTGTGTTACTTAAGAAAACATAATACATAGGATTCCTATATCTGGAAGGAAAATTTTACATTTTTATGATTCAAATGAATTTCAAACAACTACCTACCTCTAAAATACCAAAAATTTTTCCTCTTTGAGTTTGCTCTCATGCTTCAACAACAACTAGACTCAAAGTTCTGAATTTCCTCTCTTTTTATTATCATAATTATTATAAATCCAACAATTTCTCAACCTAAGACACCCATGTAATCATCAATCAGGGTTTTGGGCGGAATAGAAATATCTAGGTCATCATACAAAATATGTGTGTGGGCTCAAGCAGTAAGTAAGTATTTAACAGGAAATAACTGAACTGCTATGGATTCTATCAAGATTAGGGAATAACCACAGGCAGAAAGGGAATCACAAAGCTGAGGAGATTGTAATGTGATATAGAACTGAAGACATATTTGGATTAGTCCACATGCCAGCCTATAAGATGCCCTCTAAATGGTACAGGGGCCAAGAAATCAAAGATATTGTTGAATGGCGAACTTGATTAGATGTAACATGAAATTCACTTTTAAAGTGTGCATGTACATTACAACAGACAAAATGGATCAGCTACAAAAGCAACATCTGTGGAAAGAGTCATTATGAGGTATAAACAACCTATTTCAAGCCATTCTGAAAGAGTATGTTCATGCAATATAGCAAAAAACTGCTTTGATAGAACACAGAAAACATTCTTCTGAATAAGAACCAGGTCAATCACGGTAGATAACAAAACTAGTGAAAAATATTGTTTACCTTCTCTCAAAACACAAGAAATGCCCAATAAGAAAGAAGAAGAAAAAAAGAAGTATGAAAAGCACTGAGGGCATTAATGTCAGATCTTCTCCATCCTGAAGTGACTATTAGAAGAAAATACACATTCAGTGAAAGATAGTAGAGTGAGAAATTCACCAAGGGTTCAAAATGAAGAGAAGTGAGACTGTAAAATAAACTCAAGTTTTACTGAGGACAATGTCTAGGGACTCGGGTACAAAGTAAGCAAATAGCTAGAGAAATGTTATGAAAGAATGGGGATGAGCAAAAAAAAAAAAAAAAGAATCTAAAGGTGGCAGATAGGGTATCTCTGTAGCCTGCAATAAGAGAGACAAGCTACAATCATGAAATAAGAACATGAAAACAAGGAAATCTGTTAAGGAGTTGGAAAAAGAAAAGAAACAAATTTTCTGAAGCACAAACTTCTAAAAACAGCTGACTGAGAGTAGTATACAGCTAAGGATGAACCTCTGCAAAAATTTAACAACATTCAAACTAGATAAAAAGAGAATGTGGCTTCTTATAAAGGACCACGTTATTAGCCATGAAATTGTAGACAAATGTCATTGTGGAAGAGGTATATTCAAAGATGTATCAAAGAGGTAACAAAATAAGATCCTCTGGAGATAGGATGACATAGAAGTGGAAACCATAGTTAAGCTAGCCAGTATAGAGCAACAAGGAGAACTTCACAATTTGATACATTAAACTTGGTCTATACCCTTAGAAGACAAAGAGGAGAGTATGCATAGAAGAAAAGATACTCCCAAGACTGGCTTAAAGCACCCACCACTGGAGAAGCTGGATCTGGAACTGGAGACCAATAAAGTGGAAGATGATGATTTTCTGCTGCTAATAATACTTCAACCAAAGGACATTAAAGCTATTGGACAAAAACCACTGGAAGGGTGAATGTTCCATTCTGTAATGAGAAGCCAATAATGTCTAGAAAGGGAATTTTTAAAAATACTCCTAACACCTTTCATATGACGGACTTGAAGATAAGTATATGACGTGAATAATGCCAAAGATATACAGAGACTACAACAAAACAAAGTCTGTGGGATCATGTTCCTCCCTTATTATTGATATATTCCACCATAATAGAACTATCAGTGTGAATCAAAACACAGTGGTGGTGTAACAAGGGTGGGAACCCTTAACAAGCATGCTAAACTGCCCAAAGTTTCAAAATATTTATTTGAGAAACTGATTCCTGAAGAGTTCAGGAATCCAAAAGACAAAGTTCCCTCAATACAGCATCTCAATGCTTGAGAGAAGTACAGATGAATCAGTGAAGATGTGCAGAGCTCTCAAATTAACAAGTTGAAGGTAATTGAGAGCAACAGTAGATAGTGAAATTTTCTGAGATAACAAATCTGAAGATAGATGCCACTGAGAGGCAAAGTCCCACTGATGGTTTCTCATGTAAGAACGTTCCCAAAGTAAAGCAGACATCTTTTGCTGAAAGAGTAGAAAACAGAAATAGGCAAACCCAAAATGCAAGGGATTGCAAGTCCAAAGGAGACAGTTAAATAGTTCCTTGAAAGGTTTATCCAAACTCCCAGATTCGATCAGATATAGACTACATACATCTTGAGACTTGCACTTCTGTACAATCCATCCCTAATAAACTAGCTGGTGAGTTAATCAAGAGCAAATCAATGACTGATATAATGATTGAGCAAGAAAAAGCTAATCATCCATGTAAAGATAAAAACAGATACTAAGTGAGCAGAAAACAAACAAATGTTTTGACTACACATGTAAGACATTAGGAGCTAAAGCCATATCATAAATAAACTAGCATTCTGGTAACCAAGACTAAGTCAGTAAGAATACATAACAAAAAATGTAAATCAGAAGTTTGTTCCTTAGAAAAAAAAAACAACAACAGAAAAGCATAGCTAATAATTGTATTTATAAAGTCTTAAAATCAAAATAATTATGGAGCACAAGTGAGAATACTGACAAAAAAACAGGGTGCAAGACCCTGTGAAAGATTCATAAAAAAAACTACTATGTAGGCCTAAAGTTTGAGACAAATTAAAAAATTAAGGCCCCACTAAAGGGCCAAAGGAATTTGAAATAAGGCAAATTTAATATCTGGAAATTGCACAGATTTCTAAAATCATCATCCATAGCCTGAATGGAACTTTCTAAAAAAATGCTAGAAACTTCAGATCTAACAGAAATTGGTCCAAGATATAAAATGTTACACACCTTGAAAATAAAAGAAATTAGTTCAGTGGAAGCTTCTCCAGGACAATGTCTATTTCCAAAATCCTGCTCCCAAGAAGAAAATGAAAAATAAAATCCTATGCAAAAGAACTGGCTTGTTCATGAAGAAAAAGGCTAACGATACAACAAACTGGCATCCATAAAACTGATACTTAACATGCATATCGAATGAAGACTCAACATTAATGAACTAAATGTGTGTGTGTTGATCAGGCAGATAATAAAGCCTATAGGAACTTCTTGCACACTAGGGAAGATTGTGGAAATTAAGCTTCAAACGAAACAAAGTTTTTTATCATTGATAGAAGCATTAACTGAATTGATGTGAACTTCAGAATTTATAGCAAGAATGATAGCATATGGTGTGAATATGAAGAAAATATCAACATGAAAATTTCAATTATAGCAGGAAAGTAGATCACACGTAAAATCTCATGACGATTGCACAATAAGTCAACATGGAAGATGGGAAAATAGAGAATTATGAGTAAGTGCTTCAAGCTCTGCATTGTGTCAGTGACAATCAGAACTGAATCATGTGATAACAGAAACTCACCATGGAAGGGCTTTCAGTATTTCAGAGGTTAGTCTACCCGATATGACATAATTGTTTGAATGTTTCTAAAATGTTGAAATAGATGTTTCAAACCACAAAATTTGTTTAACATAATATAAAAAAATCTATGCCTAAACAGATTTCTCTGCACCAGTAAATAAAAACATTTGTATCACAGAATTAAATGACCTACATGCAAAGATCCACTGAAATAGGTTAATTAATATCTATTTACAATCTACACAATTGGGAGAGCCCTTACTGGGTTTGGTTTTAGATTACCAGAGCTATTAGTTTGAAATCAATACACAGGGGTTTCTTGTAAGAACTATTGCAAACTTTCTTTGCTGCTAGATGAGGTCTCTAAGAATAGTGATTGGAAATGTGGCTCAAATTCCAGCCATTACTTATGTAACCACCAACAGCACCCGACTTGGTAAATGTTTATTAACCCATCTTTTCAACATGTAATGCTGACACAAAAACTAGTAATGTTCATGAATCTTTAACTTAAACTTTCTTTAAAATACTAATCCAATATTCATTTTGTTCATTTACCCTGATGGCATTTTTTATGCTTAAGTGTGACAAAAAACTTAACATTTCGATGGTTTAAGTCTAAAAAGAAAAAACACATGCAGTTTTAAGTCCATTCAAAGAGATGTGCAAAAAAGTTTTACACAGATCAACTTGAGATAAAACTCTCTAATGTACATAAGGTTAAATGAAGCAATTTTCCAAATAAAAATTTAAGAAGAAAAAAACAGCACTATAC